GAGTACAGCTGCGAGGCCGGGGGACAGAAGGTGTCCTTCCGTCTGGATGTACCAGGTACCTATTTGTCATTCCTTTGCCTTACATTAGCCTTCATCTCTCAAACTCCCATCCTTCCTTCTCTCCTGCAGCTAGGCTGGGGATGAATACGTAAGGTGGAGGAGGGGTCTGTTTTGTAAGCCTCGAGTGGGGTTACTATTAGGTAATCTGTAGTTACAGGTTTCCAGAACCATCTTGCTGTTGTATGAGATCCGGGACTCAGTCTGGACCTTGTGTATGGTCTCAATTCTCCCTCCCCTACCCCACAACAGTGTCTAGTTATCAGCAAGTACCATTGACCCTTTGCCTTCAGTTTGGGATCAGAGATCCCCATAGAGTTCCTGCTCTGACCTCAGGAACATTGAGGAGTGAGTGTCTCCTGTCTCCTGTCCGGTCAGCCTACATTCCTGTCAATGTTAGCACCGGGCTCCATGTCCTCAGAGGGAGAAGCTGAGACTGACAGCTGCTGGCCTTCTGTGCAGGACGAGCCTTGAGGACTTCTAGGGTGGTCTGCAATCCTGACTGACGTGTAGTGCTCTCAGACAGCAGTGCGCCATCAGACCCCCGCCTCCCTGATGTTGAGAAACAAGCTATGAGGTCTACATGAAAATTCTATTTTTAAAAGAATATGACAAGGCATTTTATGGTGATAAGTCTGGCTGGTTACTAGTAAACTGTGTGAGAATAATAACTCAGTTAAGTCTCACGCATTCTGAATAACTGGAATAGCAACCGAGTCTTCAAATAGTTTCGTGGAGAAAAATGTATCAAATAGTAGTGAGAACAGTTATCCCTTGCTCACGGAGACCTTTGTAGACACTTCACAAAGGAAATAAGCCTGTAGGTCATTTCATACAGTAGGCATAGCACTGACATGGAGATCTGACAAGGGGTATGGGATGAAGGCAGGAACCAAAGAGCCGATTGCTGTGAGTGTCACAGATAAAAATCTACAACACAGTATTGGCAGAGTCAACTGAGCAGAGGCAGGAAGCCCTACAGTGCGGTGAGAATCATAGTCATCCATTAAGGTTGAGGAAGTACTGTCCTCCATTGCCCAAGCCATCTCTTTTCCCTGTGGCCTTTCTGACCTAGACAATGTCTCTAACCCTGTGTATCACTGTTTGTCCCCAGAGCCCAAGCTGGTGTTTGCTAAGGAGCAGCAGGCACGCAGTGAGGTGAAGGCAGAGGCAGGGGCCAGTGCCACACTGAGCTGCGAGGTGGCCCAGGCCCAGACTGAGGTGACGTGGTTGAAGGACGGGAAGAAACTGAGCTCCAGCTCAAAGGTGCGAGTGGAGGCCTCAGGCTGCTCCAGGAGGCTGGTGGTGCAGCAGGTGGGCAAGGCGGATGCTGGGGAGTACAGCTGCGAGGCCGGGGGACAGAAGGTGTCCTTCCGTCTGGATGTGGCAGGTGGGTGTTGCACAACTAAGCTAGCCTTGGATGGAGGTGTTGAAGGCTGGCCATGGCTTAGCCAGATCCTGGTCCTATTTCCTTTAGAAATTGCTTTATCCTTACCTTTTAACCATGTGTATATGTATGTGGGTATGTGCACGTGAGTGCAGGTACTCAGTGAGTCCAGAAGAGGGCACTGGATCCCCTGGAGCTGGAGTTACAGGCAGCCCGGAGTAGCCCAATCTGGGTGCTGGGAACCAAACTTGGGTCCTCTGCAAGAGTATTATGTACTCTTTATTGACAAGCGTCCCTTGCTGTCCCCTCTTTCCACTTCACCCCTTAGCCTCTCTTGTTTCTTGTTCTCTCACGTATGGCTAAGCTCAGGGGATCTTGCAGGAGGGACAGGGTCTTCTGCAGCTTAGTGCTGTTTTCATAAGTGCATTAGGAAATGCACTTCATGCTGTGGGCAGTGTAGCTTGAACAATCCTCCTCAGATCCGTGAGTCGGGCAGGGGGAGGGCAAGGGGCTCTGCCGAGATATGGCAAGGTCCTTGACAGAATTAGCTAGTTTACTGATGAAGCAGAGAGAACAGTAAGCCAAGAGGCACTTGAGAGTCCCATGCAGGCACCAGTGGAGAAACATGTTCCCTGTTGCTGTGTCTGTGATTTGGGGCCCTTGCATTTACTTAATCTGCAACTGAGTTTACATATTAGCCAAAGTACATGCTAGTGCATTCCCCGCCCACTCCCTTTTTTAACCCATCAAATTTTGTTCTTGACAAAATGGATAAGCCACATCTAACCATCTGTCATTGGGATAAGACCCACAGGTCATACCTACTATGAGGGAGGATAAGGGCTGTAATATATAAACAGATTCCTGAAATAAATATGAAGAAGAAACTGTACTACTAAGAATAGGGTCTTCTTGCATACTGGCTATACAGAGGAATATAGACACTGATGGCTGGAGACATCAGTGAGACAGACAGCACAGGGTCACAGATGGCCCAGGAGCTCCCTTTAGCAGGTGCCATGGCTGAAAATTATGCAGAGTAGGAAAAGATATGGAGAGTCAGGATTTTCAGCTCCATGAGGCATGCCCTACAAGTCCTGGGGAGATGCTCCATTGCCACTGTGGCAATGACTCACAGCCTGTCCATGGAGGACTGTAGTAACCATGTCTCCCCTTGAGTGGTCCCAGCAGTGGTGACAGGCTATGTGGATAAACTGGGGTTGTGTGTTAAGAGGCTCCAGGGACTTTTCCTGGACACAGTGTTTAGAGCCTGAGTGATATCCTGCTTTCCAGCTGCCCCATCCAATCTTTCTGTAGGTGGCCTTCCTGATCTAGACGTGTCTCTGACCCTCTACGTGTGTCCTTGTCTGTCCCCAGAGCCCAAGCTGGTGTTCGCTAAGGATCAGCAGGCACGCAGCGAGGTGAAGGCAGAGGCAGGGGCCAGTGCCACACTGAGCTGCGAGGTGGCCCAGGCCCAGACTGAGGTGACATGGTTGAAGGATGGGAAGAAGCTGAGCTCCAGCTCAAAGGTGCGAGTGGAGGCCTCGGGCTGCTCCAGGAGGCTGGTGGTGCAGCAGGCGGGCAAGGCGGATGCTGGGGAGTACAGCTGCGAGGCTGGGGGACAGAAGGTGTCCTTCCGTCTGGACGTCACAGGTCAGTCCTTTGGGACAATCCATGCATTCGTAATTATTACATATCTTTGACATAATGAATTGCTTCTCTCATTAATGCATAGTGAACTCTGTATTTTCTGACTAATCTTGCCTTGAACACTGTTTAATGAGATCTGAGTCTAGCTACCCCTGCTTGCTTCAGGCTTCCATGTTTTTGATCCATCCCTTCCCAAGTCTGAATTTACCAGTAAGGTGTGTGTGTGTGTGTGTTTTAAATTACAAAAAGTTCAGTATTAAAACAATTAGTGACATATTTAAAATAGTTTTAGATTTATTTGTTTTATTTTACGTGTATCAGCATTTTGCTTGAATGTGTCTGGGTACCAGATTTGCACCTTGTGCCCGTGGAGTTAAGAAGGCGTCAGATTTCCATTACTGGAGTTACAGGTGGTTGTCAGCCACGAGGTATGTGCTGGGAGCTGAACCTGGGTCCTCTGCAAGAGTATCAGGTGCTTTTAACCATTGAGCCATCTTTCTAGTCCCTGGATTTTATTTTATTTTTATTTTTATTTTTTTTTGGTTTTTCGAGACAGGGTTTCTCTGTGTAGTCCTGGCTGTCCTGGAACTCACTCTGTAGACCAGGCTGGCCTCGAACTCAGAAATCCGCCTGTCTCTGTCTCCCAAGTACTGGGATTAAAGGCGTGCGCCACCACCGCCCGGCCTGGATTTTATTTTTTAATCCAATCATCTGTCAGGGAGTGAAGATTGTTTACACTTAGGATTATTATTGAGAAGTGTTTTCTGATTCTTGCAATTTTATTGATCATTTTCCTGGTTGGCTGTTCTAGTTGGATTACTATTCATTCTTTAAAAAAAAGATTTATTTTGATTTTATGTGTGAGGCCAGAAGAAGGCATCAGATTCCCTGGAACTGGAGTGACAGGTGGTTGTGAGCTGCCACATTGGTGCTGGAAATTGAACCCTGGTCTTCTGCAAGAACAGCCATTGCTCTTAACCTCTGAGTCATCTTGCCAGATGGTTTTCTTTTTTCCCTTTCCCTATTTTTGTTAATGAGGTTTACTCATTTACTGGATTGGTCACAACTGAATCCTTTCTAAGTCTCCTTTGTTCATCTACTCTTCTCGTGAAATGTATTGATCCACATGCTGTTGTGAGTAAGACTTTTTTCCTCTTCAGAGGTTAGGATTCTTATTAGAGTCTTAAGCAAGTGTTGTCTTGGATGCCACCAGTTACTTCAGTTTGTTTCTCTTGAGCTGTCTTTATTTCTGTCGATTTTAAGAGATAACTTTGTTGGAATAGTCCTTTTAGCTAGGACTATTCCTCCAGGGCATAGAATATATCATCCCTTGTTTTCCTAGGGTTGGGAGCTTCTACTGAGATGTCTGAGGTTATTCTAATGGGTTTGCCTTTTCAAAGGTTATGACATTTTAAGTTGTGTGTGCGAGCACATGGTGCATACATGTTGATATCAGAGTTATCTCTCAGGAGTCCGTTTTCTCCTCCAGGTAGGTTCTGGGGCTTGAACTCAGGCTGCCAAGCTTGGTGGCAAGTGCTTTATTTGCTGCACCATCTCTCTGTTCCTCTTATGGAGCTTAACATTGTCTCTGTTGAGTTTTAGCATGTTCCTTATCATACATCATAGGAAAGACTCTCTGGTCACGTTTATTTGGGGGCTGTAAATACCCCATGTGTTCTGATGCCCACATCTTTTAGTTGGGGATTTTTTTTCTATAGTTTCATTGACTCATTTTTTATGCCTTTAGTTTGTACCTAATCTTTTCCTGCCCCATAGACTTATAGACTTGATGACTATATCCCAGAGTTCCCGGATGTTGTGGGCATGGTCACATTTCTTTTCTTTACCACTGTCTGGCTGTAGCCTTTCCTGGTGTTCTCCACCCGTGATAGACTTTCGTATGCTTGATTAGCCTGCTTGTGGTACTTCCCAATACATTTTAAATCTTATTAACTGAAAATTTCATTTCTATAATATATATATATGTATATATATATCATATGTATGTATGTATATATATATCATATGTATGTATGTATGTATGTATGTATGTATGTATGTATGTATGTGTTTCAAGATCTTGATGCCCTTGCTCAGTTTCTTATGCATGTTTCTGGCCATCTCTTCTGCATTACAGATTTATTTACATCCTGAACTGATTTCCTGGCCTTATCCATATGTTTGTTTCCTCCATGAACTCACTGACCATCTTTTTGGGTAGATTAAATGATTATTTGTCTAGCATGTCAGCCATTTTGGTGTCTTTGAACTCAGTAATTGAGGAGTGATGGTCTTTTGAGGGTGTTGTTTTGTGTTGCCCTCTTATGCCAAAATCCTTGCCTAGTATGAGACTTGAGAATGATTTCTAGACCACAGGTGGTGCAGAGGAAGCATGGCCATGCTTGCACGGGAGGTGACACTTTTAGATTCACTCTCATGTCAAAAGCATCGCCTTACCAGTCCCAAGTCCTATGAGGTATGCCGACGTGCTTTGTGAACATTATTAAACATTCTGAAGCAACCATGAAGAAGATAAACGAAGTGCACACAGTCTGGGAGACCTGCAGGTGATCACTCTTGGTTCAAATGTACCAAGGGATGCTTCTGTCCAAGTGGGAAAATGAGGAGCTAAACCATGGTCAGAGATCCACGTGGGGGCACGCTATACCAGATGCCGGGATACTACAAAATCTAAAATGAAACCAAAAGCAATAATGAGACCTAAATATTCAGTGGGTGGGCTCAGAACAGACAGTGTAGAAGCAGGTCTGCCTTCCACCTCTCCCCCAACCCTAGTGACTTGTGAGGCACATGCAACACAGGGCAATAAAATCATCGTGGATGTCCTCTTTGCCACCGAAGAGCCAAGTGCAGGTGGTTACAGGTGTCAGAGTGAGGGAAAACAGGTGTAGCAAGGGTGACAGGCTTTCTTATGGTCTCAGGGTCAGACAGAGTCCTGAGCAGATCCTAAGTGCCTTAACTGTAATGGCTATCATTGCCTGCAGTGCAACTACCATGCTGGAGCTGCCCCTGAATTCGTGGCAGCATATGTGGATGAACTGGTTTTTGTCCCAAGAGATGCTAGGGCTTCTCCTGGGCACAGCCAGTGCAGAGCATGGGGGATAGTTTTCCACCTAGCCACCCATTCAGACCCTTTCCCTGTGTGGCCTTCCTGACCCTGTGTGTCCTTGTCTGTCCCCAGAGCCCAAGCTGGTGTTTGCCAAGGAGCAGCAGGCACGCAGTGAGGTGAAGGCAGAGGCAGGGGCCAGTGCCACACTGAGCTGCGAGGTGGCCCAGGCCCAGACTGAGGTGACGTGGTTGAAGGACGGGAAGAAGCTGAGCTCCAGCTCAAAGGTGCGAGTGGAGGCCTCGGGCTGCTCCAGGAGGCTGGTGGTGCAGCAGGCAGGCAAGGCGGATGCTGGGGAGTACAGCTGCGAGGCCGGGGGACAGAAGGTATCCTTCCATCTGGATGTGGCAGGTCAGTTGTTTGAGGGCACTAATGTTGCTCATTTGGATGAGATGTTAAGACTGACTAATAACTTGAAGGACCCTGACACTACTGCAGGGGGCTTATCCTCTTCAAGCCTTAAATCTTTCACATTGTTTTCACGTCCATGGCTTGGCTGTGTCAGCAGAAGTTGTGCAACTAAGTCAGGAGAGCTGAGTCCTTGTTTTTATGTGGTAGTATTTATCATCCCCAAACATCCCAGGTGTTCTCTGCATTGCTGACTGGTGCCCAGGGATATTCCTGGCTCCTCCTGGTGTTTAGGATTTGGGTAAGCGAGATCTGTCTTTCTGGACTCTGAGAATGTCCAAGCGTCTGCAGGTCCTGCATGCCCAATTCCAGCATGAATGGTCTTGTTCATAAGGAACATTTTCATTCAATTTAAATACAACTAGGGAAAGTTTGATTCCCCTAATCATAATTGGATTTTCTTATAACAAAAGCTGACTTATGTTGTTTCCGGTGCTGTACCTGACTACTCTTTCCTGATTTCTGAGATATAAAGGTCTGTGCCTGTACTGACGTGTACACACATATATTGCCGTGTCTGTGTGTGGTAAGGAAAGAGCAGAGAGCTTGTGGGTGTGCTGCTGTGACAGTAGACAGCTATCCCTGGGCAGAGTCTCATTTTTTAAAGGCCGGTTAGAAAACTGGTCAGTAACAGTGGTCTCCTTGGAGCAATATTTGGAAAAAGTGGAAGACACAGCTTATGGGTTTTTTTGCACCCTAGAGAAACAAGGTGAGCTCTGGTCTTGGGGCTCTCTGTCCACAGTGTCCTTAGGAGTTCATCTGTCTGCACCTCCTCCACTCATTAGAAATCTGAGATGTGCATTTGTCTTTCTTCACTAAGGAGTCTTCTCTTACAGTGACCTGTGTGTGTTACTAGATAACATTTCAAGTATCCCATCAATAAGAAATGATTTCTGAATAAGCATACCGACAAAACAAAATAAAACAAGACAAAAAAGGGGAAAAATGCTTTATATCTTTACTAAGTTTTATTTTCAAAGAATATGAAAAATTAAAAAATAAAACTATTCAGCTATTTTCTAGAAGTTATATAAAAAGTAACACAAAAAGAAATAGAAAATTTGAAAGGTCGTGGTGTCTTTTTGAAACATAAGTATAAAAACTAGTTTACTGTGACTGGAGAGATGGCTCAGAGGTTAAGGGCACTGGCTGTTCTTCCAGAGGTCCTGAGTTCAATTCCCAGCACCCACATGGTGGCTCACAACCATCTGTAGTGAGATCTGGCACCCTCTTCTGGCTTGCAGGCATACATGCACACAATAAATCTACAAACAAACAAACAAACAAAAAACTCCAAAGGTAATTTACCGCAGAAAAGGGGGTATGGATAAATCTTATCAAACTTTCTAGAAGGTAATTATTGGTTCTGGTGCTTTATTGCACAGTAAGATGATTCTACTTGACAGCAATGTATAATGAATCTCCAGACAGCTAAGAGGATTTAAAAGGTTCTCACCACAAGACATAATAAATAGTTGCTACAGTAGATATATTAATTATCTTGTTTTGATTACAATGTAGACAGGTTATTGAAACATTACATGGTGCCATATAATTTATTATTTGCTGATTAAAAATGAAAAAAAAAAGAAACCAGTGAGATGAACCAGAGGGCAAAGGTTCTCGCCACCAAGTCTGATGGTGTGAATTTGACTGGTCCCCCAGGACCCAGTGAGCCAGTCTCACCTCTTTCAGGCCCTTGGACCTCAGTTATCTCCACACCAAGGACCAAATATCCATCACATGAGCCTTGGGAAACACACCATAATAATGTACCCTGTGCTTGAAAATAGCTGAAAGAGTACATTTCAAATGTTTACACAAAAAATGATGTGAGTGTGGAAATATATGTTGGTTACTTTTTATTGTCAACTTGATATAACCAGGAGTCTCTTGGGAAGAGGAATGACCCAGAACAGACTGGCCTGTGGCCATGTCTGAGGGATTGTTTTAGTTGGTGATTAAGGTGGGAGGACCCAGTCCACTGTGGGTATCTGACCTAGGCAAGTGGCCTGGGCTATGTAAAAAAACCGAGAGAATGAGCCAGTAAGCAGCATTCCTCCATGGTTTCTGCTCCACTTCCTGTTTGAGCTCCTATCCTGATTCTCCCCAGTGGTGAGTCATGCCCTATAAGTAAGCTCCGAATCACCCCTTTTCTCCCTAAGTTGCTTTTGGCCGTGGCGTTTATCACAGCAATAGAAAGCAAACCAGAATGTGATGAACATTTTATCCAGCTTGACTTAATTGTTTCTCACTATAACGTATAACAAGAAGTCATGCTCCATAAACGTGTGTGGAAGGTGTCAGATACAATAGAGGACACTGAGACAGAGATTGTTCTTTCAGCATTAGGATTTATTTAACACCATGTACAGACAGACAAACAGAAAGCAGTGTGGTAGGTGGTCTGAAGAGGAATTAGGGTCCACATGGCCGATGTTGAGTCTCTGCTTCCAGCTCTTTGAGGACAAGAGGTTTTAGAGCGGGAGTCTGCAATCAGAGTCAGGAAAGGGGCTGGGGGCAGAGGGCATGGCCACTAACAGCCTCTGGGATGTAAACTCACTTTCCTAGGCAGGAAAGCGTGAACGTGGAGTCTCTTAGCTAGAGGTGTTGGGCAGTGTCTCAGTCAGGAGCCTGTCAGTGTCTCTGAGAGGGAAAGGCTGCTGCTGTGGGATACGACGTCCTGAGCAGCAGCTGAATTCCAACAGTGCGTTAATGTAATATGCAGCTCAGGTTTTCAGTTAAAGCATTAATAAAAGGCCCAAGTTAACATGTAGAAAACATTGTCAACTGTCTATTGTCTTGACAACACTGGTGGAAGGAGAAATTTTAGACTTATAACAACACAAAGAGCCCGTCTCAATTCCCAAATCTAAAAGGGATCATGAAGTCACATATTTTCGGAAGGTAGTAAGAGGATCAAAGTGCATAGAAATCCACAGAAGACCCAAATATATTCACGTCTGATAAAATTTCAAGGGACTGTCTTACTCAAGGGAACTGAAAGTTAAGATTTGAAACGCCACCAACAGCCACTGGGGAGGAGCCAATAGTGAACTCACAAAGTGGGAGGCCACACGGGTAGCCACCACAATTTGAGGACAACTGTCACACCCAAGGAACAGAGCAGGAACTGTGACCAGTCTTGTGAACAAAATAACTGCCTTTTCTCTTATGAGCAGGAGAGATGGCTCACTAGGTAAAGCCACTTGCTGCCAAGCCTGACATACTAAGTTCCATCTATAGAAGCCACAGGGCGGGAGGACTGGACGTTGTTCTTTGACCTCCACACACACACTGTGGAGTGCACATGCATGCACACGGACATATACAATAAGGAAATGTAAAAAATTATGTTTGGGTTGGAGAGTTGAATCAGAAGTTAAGAGCACTGACTGCTCTTTCAGAGGTCCTGAGTTCAATTCCCAGCAACTACATGGTGGCTCACAACCACACCATCTGTAATGGGATCCAATGCCTTCTTCTGGAGTGTCTGAAGACAGTGACAGTGTGCTCACATACATTAAAAAAATGATCACTAAAAATTTAAGCAAGGGATGGTATAGATAAAAATGATAGTTTAATCATTTCTGTATTTAAAAAATGGGGTAGGAACTCACCAATCACATGTCAGGTGGGTTAGTCACAGCCCAGAGCCCAGATTACAGGACCCTTAGTGGCCTTCAAGCATTCTGAGGGTTACTTATTCTGTGTTTACAGCTATCCCCTTAGAGACAGAAAAGGAGGCGAGCCTTCAGTCCTCTGTATGTAGATAGTATAGCATACTAAAATCTGGCTGGCATTTAAGAACTCATATTTTAGGTCAACCTATTATGGGTATTAAGGACAGTTTGTGAAACACAATATTAATGAACTGACCTCAGAGGCATACCCACAAGATTATCCCCTGAGAAGGAAATTCATAGCCCAGGATCAGCAGTCCTGAATATTAGAAAGTGAGAATTCACCCTGCCCTTATCTGACTGACGGAAACTGTGAAATTATCTCAAAACAAAAAAGAAAAAAGGATAAAACTCAGCAATGTAAATTAAAAAGAAGTATTTGACAAAATTTATCACCAGTCATTTCTTAAAATTTGTAACAAATGTCATTAAATCGATTTTTGGCTTGGTAAGCAGCACTGTATGCAAATTGAGGACTGGATTACTTTGCTCCAAGATCAGGAACAGCATAAAGATGCCAGCTGTCACCACATCTTTCAGCGTAACTAGGAAGGACACCCAACAAAAGGCACAGAGGTTAGGGGAAAAACAGATTCATGAATTATAAGATTTCTTCAAAAGACACATGAATGGAGACAGAATCCTGCATACAAAGACTAATGTAAAGACCATTCTTCACTATATACTAGCAGTGAGCATCTTGCAAAGTGAGTTTAAAAGCTTTAAAGTATCTTCAAAAGTATCATGCTTATAATGCCAAGTCTGGCATCAGGTGTGGTAGATTACTAAACATTCTTGAGAGATGTCAAGCTCTACAGGGACGGGTAGAAATGAAATGGGTTTTGCAGGTGTCCAGTTTCCATCACCATGGGACAATTGCTGTGGGGTGGGTTGAAAATGACATTTCTCAGGCCAGCTACAGCCAGCACAGTAGAGAGGATCTGGTGGTAAACAGTTGCCATTAGGTACAAGACTGCCACAGAGGTATTGTATGTCTTTAATAAGACAGACTAGCAAGGGCTAGAGAGATGGTTGGGAGCACTGGCTGCTCTTCCAAGGACCCATGTTCAATACCTAGCACCCACATGGCAGCTCACAAGTTATCTGTAAATCCAGTCTGGAAGTGGTATATGGTGCCCTCTTCTGGCCTCTGTGTGCACTGCATGCATTTGGTGCCCAGGTATACATGCAGGCAAAACACCCATACACGTTAAAAAAAAAAAAAAAAAGAGGGTCAGGATCACAGCCAATCTAGTTTTGTGAATCTTAGATTTATTTGTGATTCTAGAGTTAAGTCCAGGATGTCTCTGCCCCAGAACACGGGCAGGTTATGTTTACACTCAGAGAAGAGGCAGTGGCGTACAGAAAAGGGTATTGAGGTAGAGACGGCCTGTTTGCTTTCAGCTGGTGTCTCTCTTGCCTGACCATATTAGGGGACTTGGGTTCTTGTCACAAGAATAACCTATAGTCTGATAACTTCAAGGTAAGTTAGAGTTAGAAAACAAAACACTCTAGACTGAATCTAATCCAGATTACTACAATAAGACAACAGATTCTCAATGCAAGAGTGGTCAGCAGGGAAGGAGAGAGCCTAGGCATTCAGAAGGAGCGTGTCTCAGTTACTCTTCTATTGCTCTGAAGAGACACCATGACCAAGGCCACTGGTAAAAGAAAGCATTTAATTTGGGGGCTCACAATCCCAGAGGATTAGTCTATGGTCACCATGGAGGGAGCATGGCAGCAGACAGACACACATGTTGCTGCAGCAGTAGCTGAGAGCTTACATCTGGTCCATCAGCACAGGGCAGAGGGCTGACTGGAAACGGGGTTTTTGAAACCTCACAGATCTATTGTGGTTTTGGGCTGAGAGGGACTGTGGCTTCTCCTGGGATCAGTCAGTGAAAAACTTAAACAATGTCCCACCCTCCCACTGCACCGTCCAGTACTCTCACTGGTGTGGCCTTCCTGATCAATGATATTTGTGACCTTGCGCATCTGTTTGTCCCCAGAGCCCAAGCTGGTGTTCGCTAAGGAGCAGCAGGCACGCAGCGAGGTGAAGGCAGAGGCAGGGGCCAGTGCCACACTGAGCTGCGAGGTGGCCCAGGCCCAGACTGAGGTGACATGGTTGAAAGACGGGAAGAAGCTGATCTCCAGCTCAAAGGTGCGAGTGGAGGCCTCTGGCTGCTCCAGGAGGCTGGTGGTGCAGCAGGCGGGCAAGGCAGATGCTGGGGAGTACAGCTGCGAGGCTGGGGGACAGAAGGTGTCCTTCCGTCTGGACGTCACAGGTGGGTGTTGAGACACTGCATTAGTTTACCAATGTCATGAGCCGGGTTATGGCCGGCCTGGTGTCTTTCCCACTCAGTGTCATCCTTGCCAGTCTCATTCCTGTGCCTGGTCCTGGTGCATTTGCTGGATGTGTGTTCATCTTGGCCAGGGCCTCTCGTGTGTCCCACAAAGCGTCCTCATGCTGTAATGTCCCATTTCACGTTCCCAGTGCCTGCTCAGCTGTTCCTTGGTGCCATGGACTCTGGTCCCACCTGTGTGCAGGGCTGAGGTGACTAATGTCTCTCTGTCTGCCTGAGGTCTCTCACACAGCTCTCTGTGGCCTCATCCAGTCCCACATGAGGTGCCTATTAAAGAGAAATTTTAGTTCATGTTCAGCCAGGGTAGGGAGGAATGTTAATCACATGATCATATTTGAAAGTGTATTAACTCTGAACCACAGGCTGTGAGGGTTCAGTTAGGTGTTCTGGAATACTCTCCCCCCTTTCCCTGGGTATAATGCAGGATTGAGAACAAGACCTTTCTCAGTCCAGTTGTCCTTGGCCCAGAGACTTAAGGCATCGGAAACCCAACGACCACCAAAAGTCAACCAGAGACAAAGGCTCTTGATTTATTCATTCATGCCAATGACAATGAGATTCCAACATTTGTGGGAGAAAGTGAAGTGGAAGTAGGTTTCCTTAAGAGACATTAGGCAAGCTGGGCAGTGGTGGCGCACGCCTTTAATCCCAGCACTTGGAGGCAGAGGCAGGCTGATTTCTGAGTTCGAGGCCAGCCTGGTCTACAGAGTTCCAGGACAGCCAGGGCTATACAGAGAAACCCTGTCTCGAAAAGGCATTGAACTTCTTTGTCTGAAAGTTTTTATATAGGACTTATGGCAGAAACTGGGCAAAGACTGAGGCAATTATATTTTAGTTAACCAATTAGAGCCCTATATCCTGACCCTGACCTCTTGGTCCAAGCAAAAAGGTCACCTGTAGTACCTGCCCAGTTAAGAGGATTGAAATGCTTCCTCCGCTATCTCTGACTCCAGCTATGCTTACTGACCGAGGTGGCCTGCCACCTGTAGGTCACACAGTTGGTGATGTTGTCCTCTGACCTTGAAGATGTCTCAAGTGCTGTTATTCATACTACACTCACTGCTACCAAGAAGTAACTGTAGTTGTTCTTAGTTAATTTCCAGTCTATGGGATGGTCAGGAGTGACTAGTGACTTAACTAGTCACCATGGGCCCTTCTCCCTTATAACTCACATAAGTTAGCTACTGCATTAGTTTAAACAGGCTGCCCTATTCTATGACATCATCTAGAACCGAGCACAGATGATCTATGGAGTGCTATTTGTGTGTGTGTGTGTGTGTGTGTGCGCACACACACACACATGTACGCACACTGAGCAGCTCATGGGGGCTCAGTTGGCATCAGTGAGTTTCTGTTATCAAGTAATGCTTATTCATAGTCTCTCACCCATGATTTTGCTCCTCCTGAGCTGCCCGTGAGGCAGCGGTGGCATGTGTGGATGAACCATGGGCCTCTTTGGGTTCAGTGAGTACAGAGCTGGAGGAGGGTGTTCATCACCCACAGCAGCCTCAGCCAGGTCTCTCTGTGACTTTCGTGACTCAAATGGTTTCTGATTCTGTGTCCCCATCTGTCCCCAGAGCCCAAGGTGGTGTTTGCCAAGGAGCAGCAGGCA